CGATAAACTTCCCATCGAATTACACATTCCAGGCTACAGATTTTGTGGTCCAGGTACCAAACTCGATAAAAGACTTGCAAGAGGAGACACCGGTATCAATCCGTTGGACGAGCGTGTCAAGTACACGATATCGCCTATTCACAAAATTCCTCAATAGAAGACAGACACAAAGCTGATTGGATATTGGAAAATAGAGCGTGGGAGAGAGTCAAGTCGAAGAACGCTAAATTCAAAGAGAAGGCTGCTGCTTGGCTTGTCACCACCGGAAAGAAGGTCAAACGAAAACTTGGCATGGGTCTTGTATCACAGCAATCCCCATCCAACATTATCAAATTAATAAAAAATGTACTATCAAAGTCAGATGGTGGTGGTGGTGGTAGTACAACATCATGAAGTGGTCTGAATAAATCTGCATTGAAAGCACTCCATGCAGCCAGAATGGCAATCAAGAGGGCTGACGGTAAAAAAAGAATCAGAGTACCAAGAATCATACCTCTTCCACACAGTGGCGGTATACTACCATTGATACCAATCTTTGCCGCCTTGGGAGCCCTAGGATCTCTAGCTGAAGGAGCCAGAGCAGTCGCAAAGACAGTCATTGATGCAAAAAATGCAAAGAAAAAGCTCGAAGAAGATCAAAGACATAATAAAGCGATGGAGGCTATCGGCAAGCAGGGTTCCGGCCTATTTCTATGCAAAACATCGAGAGGATTCGGACTGTACTTGAAGAAACAATCAAAAAACTCAAAAAACTTCTAGACAAGCTACCCAATAAATCAATGTACGATAAAGATGTGATAAAGTATGCCAAACAGCTGAAAATACCGTATTTTCGAGGTGTTTTTATGCGGGACACTCTACCTTCCACCGGTCCATGGCATCGCGAGTGTGCTGTATTGAATTTGGATACCGCCAATCATGCGGGCACTCATTGGGTGGCTTACATAAAAAATGATAAAAAACCTTATATTTCGATAGTTATGGTAATCTGAAACCGCCCAGAGAATTGGCGCAATATTTGGGTGCCAGCACGAAAATCTTGTACAATAACAATCAATACCAAAATTTCAATCAAAGTCATTGTGGACGTCTATGTTTAGAATTCCTTTTTAATGAGACCAAGTGACTCGGTCATTGTGCATCAGTCATGTCTCTGATTGTGACGTTGAAAGGTCGTACATCTACGCTCTCCATAGACTTTTTGACACCACTTCAACTCGATCCAGACTCTGATTACGGACTAGCATTGTTGGGATTCCATTCATACAACAGTATACCAAATATCGACAAAGGATCAAAGTTTTATCTGCGAGATAAGACCAAGGCGGGAAAGATCATCGATATTCCCGAAGGTTCATACGACATTGTGGACATTGAGACATTCTTACGCAAAGAATTGGGCATCTCAAGTGCAAAAGACGTTGATGATATATTCTCGTTGAAGCCCAACAATAATACACTAAAGTGTGAGATTTCGAGCCAAAGGTTTGCCATCGATTTTCGCCCGAAGGATAGCATAGCTCAAGTCTTGGGATTTTCAAATAGATTGTTGAACGCACAACAAGTCCACACTTTCGATTTGCCGGTCAGCATAACCGAAGTGAGAACCATTCACATTGATAGCAACGTTACTGCTGGAGCTCTCTACAACGACAGACCATCACATACGATCTACGAGTTTGCAGTTGCAGTCGATCCTGGTTACGCCATAGACGAGACTCCCAGAAATCTAATCTATCTACCTATAGTCAGCAGGCGGAAATTGCCCAACATTACACTCCAGATTCTAGACCAAGATTTCAGGCAGGTAAATTTTAGAGGTGAAGAAATCATCATAAGATTGGAATTGAAGAAACTCGCAAGATGGTACTAGTGTTTGATTACTCCTATAAATCAGATAATATACCATCATCAGCAACATCATCGGCACCAGTTCTCTCGACACCGTACACCAAAGCAGTCGTGTCTTCGAAGAGCAGCAGCAGCAACAGAAAAACATTGACATTATCCAGTGTCCTGTTTCTGAAATCACTCAAAGACTACAATGTTGTTAGCACCCGTGTTCGACGTTTTCCGCAAACTCAGACTCGACGAAAGCATCACTAAAGTGGAATGGCGTACCTATTATCCATATGTGAAATCATTCGAGAACAATGATGTCATCGATATAACGGTTAATCAAGCAGATTCGTGGTTGGCCATGTTTGAAGGCATCATTACCATCAAGGGTAAATTGAAGGTGACCGGTGGTGGTACTGGTACATTAACCCACAATGCTAGAGCTTATCTCTTTGATTCCTGCACCTATGAACTATGTAATAAAGAATTGGACACTGTCAGATATCCTGGAATGACGAGTACTGTGTGAGGATACTTGTGTTATACGCCTGAAGACTCATGTCATCTAGCCATAGCAGGCTGGAACTATCCCAATGCTCCGATCCTCAACACCGATGGTACGTTTAGCATGAACATTCCACTGAAACATTTGTTTTCCATCTTCAATGATCATCAAGTGGCGACGTGGGGCAAGCAGTCAATCCGTTTAGTGAGAGCTCGCAATGATGCCAATAGTGTGAAGGTTGTCGAGAGAGCGAATACTGCTTTGCAAGGATCTCCTCAGACTCAGAGTATTGCTGAAATAACGATAAAAAGCATTAATTTGAAAGTGCCACATCTCCCACCCAACGATGACATGAAGTTGCAGCTGTTGACACGTATCAAAGCAGATGAGCCTATGATGATACCGTTTCGCCGATGGGAATTGCACGAGCTACCAGCACTCACACAAGGATCTACCATAGAAATCTGGTCCGTCAAGACATGTTCTGCATTGGACAGTCCAAGATATGTTATAGTATTTTTCCAAACGAAAAAAGCCGATAATTTGCATGAAGACGTCACCTTGTTCGATAATGCCAACATCAAATCCATACGATTGGCTCTGAATAGCGACTATTATCTGCAAGAACGAATGCTATTGGACTTTTCCCGAGACCAATATGCTGACGCTCACTTCAACTATACAGAGTTCAACAAGAGCTACCATAACTGTCAAGAAAAGCGCTCTCTAGTAAACTTTGCCGAATTCAAATCCCGACCAATGTTTGTATCCATTGCTCGAGGCGCTATCTGGGTCTAAAGTCGTCCACAGTTGACATAAAGTTGGACATTGAAGCGACTACAGGCTTCCCTCCCGACACCAAAGCCTATTGCATCATCATTCACGATCAAATCATGGAACATCTCCCACTCAGCGAAATTTTTCGAAAAATTGCCTAGTTAGATGTTGCTGCATCAGTCAGACGTCAGTTTGCTTCGAAGAGTCATGGAGATCGCACTGGTTGACATTCAAGGGTTCACGGTTGATGGTGAATTCATTCCAAAAGAAATGACCATTCGCATTGGCAAAAAGACGAGTCATTTTCTATTCGAGCCATCTGCAGAATTTTCGAGTTTAAGCAGAGAAGATAAAAAGATGGCAAATCACCTGGAACGCTATGTGCATGGTTTGAGATATTCCAGTGGTTATGTGGATTTAAATGAGTTCGATGGAATACTACAAGACAACCTGCAGCAAACAAATATCATCTACGTTAGAGGACACCAAAAGATTCAGTTCTTGCAGCGAAAATGTGCAGAGTTGGCGATGACCAATCACATTGTGAATTTAGAAGATTTTGACAATTCTTGGTGGCAACCAATAACGTTTCAACAATCCATTCCACCTTGCATGAATCATTTCCGCAGAGGAAGGTTCCAGTGCAGTCTTTACAATGTCGATACTTTATATGATTGGCTATGTAATTTAATACCTAAATAAAAAACTATATATCGTAATTTCAGAGTTTTTATTCATCACATCCCTTATTTCTCAGTATAATGAAAATAACATGTGAGATTAAAATGAGTGAACATATTAGTGTACAACAAAGTGTCAAAATTGCAATGATATTGACAGAATCTTGATCATCATCTAATTTTGCGGGTGATTTCTTCAATGTAAATGTCTGCCAGTCCCCAGTTTCGCCGTCACTGTCATCAGAAAACGATAATTTCAATTTGTAGTCGATGGTGGTCCCATTGACTCGAGGCATGTCGATTGAATATACAGGTAGTTTGTTATCATTGACATGCATTCTTTTCATCATCTTCCAATCACATTGTTGTGTACGATTCATATCAAAACATATGGCTGCATTCCTCGTATCATATGGTATGTTTGTGTGGAAGACGTTGTTGCTCAGAGCTGTCAATAGAATGAAGCTTGCTTTCAGTATCGCCATCTAGCTGTGTTGGTTGGATTCTTCTCGATGTAGGAAACGTTGCAACTGAACGTCTTGGTTCTGTGAACACCTTGTCCCAAATACTCAATTGCTCGAAATCTTTGAACAAACAAACTTTCTGCTCATACAATTGGATGTCTGCACTGACCTTTCTAACTTTCAACCCAAATTCTTCTAGTGGACGTCTGTATTCGTCAGAAGACATGATACAACTGTTTTTTACATCCATACTTTCAACCCAAATCTTATTTCATCTCTTTCCCTCTCTCTCTCCCTTTATCTCTCTTCTTTTTTCGTCTATCTCTCTTTCTCGTACACATCATCCAGACAAGGGTGTGGAAAAAGGATACACAGAAAAGTCTAATAATTGTTTCTATATTCTAAATTGTAAAAGTGTATAATAGTATAAATGTAAAAAGGAATAATAAAAATGAAAAAAAAAAGTTTATACAATAAAATATGAATATTAGGAATAATTAGATAATACTAAAATAATTGAAAATATACATATATACAACATTTGGTGAATTATTGGATGAATAAAAGAAGTTAAATTTTTTTCATGGGAAAATAAGTCATCAATACAACACAGCGTTGGTTTAAGAATTTTGGTGCAAGAATACTGAGGAGAAAATCAATCCGTCAAACTGTAGTGACCCCACGGAAGTGTGTCAAACGAATCGTGAATCAGTTTCCACTTATCATCTTTGGGACTCAGACCAATTTTTGTTTGTTCGATGGAAAAACATCGTGAGCGTAGGAACGAATCGTTTGCTGGGCTACGGTCTTTCCTTTCCAAGCCGTCAGACAATTCACATAGTCATCAGAAGTCAACTTATTTTTGACAACACATTTCTTGACACCTTTGGATTTTTTATTTATACCGAAATTTTCCAATTCCCTATCTAGTCGTTCTTTACTGAATCCCTTTCTTTCCAATCGCTTTCTCTCTTTTTCAATATCCTCATCCGTTATATCCAATTTATAACTGTACATCTTGGATCGTAGTCCAGCAAAATGCGTAATAATCTTACCGTTTGCCTCATTCTTTAATAGGCCCAAGACTTTTTTATTTACTCGAGGTATACCATAAATATTGTCTGGAGCATAGTCAGACGTGTCAAATCTCTCGATATTTGCATCAATCACCTCACTATACACATCGTCACATACAATTTCGTAGATGAAGCTGTCCGTATCGGTATACATGAGTTTTACGTCAGCTCCAAGCTTTGGTAACATGAAATTGTAGTGGAAATCAAACATGACAATTTTCGATAAATCAAGAATAGCTATACCAATGTATAGGGGCTTGTTGAAAATCAACTCCGACTTTTTCAGTTCGATAGCCATGAGGTTTTCATCGAAAACTGTTCGATTTTAAAATCTAGGACTGGAAATTAAATTCTTAGCACCATAACGGCCTTCATATTTTTGTACCAATTTCACAACGCGGTGATTACGGATATTTTCCATTGTTTTCCCAAACACCGCATTGTTCATCAATTTTCGCAAGTCTCTTTCAAAGTCACTAGTGGCCAAGGTCCTCAATCGCGTATTCGACGCAATGTAGGACTTAAGCCACGGGGCTTGCTTAAATTTCAATACTTTATGGATTTTGGTCAATTTCAGACCGTGTTCTAATGCCTGCTTCAAATTTCGATAATATAAAGTATATTGTTTTTTATCGTGGAGTGTGGTCATTACCCAGCAAACATGTATCGCGCGGGCCTTTAGACGCCCTCCAAAAACTGCCGACAGTCAACATCAGCGGGCCACAATCATGATAAATCGTCGGCCCGGCTAGCCCGTGTCGCACCGGCCGCTAGTAGGCCGCCCGACTATCTACCGACACTATTCGGTTAGAAATAAAAAAAAGATATAGTCGAGAGTCGGACTCGAACTTGCGATCGAACAGATATCCAATCAACTGTCAGACGCTTATACCACTAGGCTACTGCGAAACTTGAAAGATACTATTACGAATCCATCAGTCAACAGAATTGAAATAGTACAATACTTCAATTATATTTGATATTTGATCATATACGATATACCTATCATAACTTGTTGATTCGACGACGTAAAATAGGTTTAGTCTGATAATGTTCTAGCCACATTACTTTTCCAGTGTATGATCTATTACTGTGAATCAAATATTTTTCGAATATAGGTAAAGAGCTGAACTTCGCATTGGAGCATCATTGTTATAATATAGGGTAATGAACAAATATTAAGCTCAAAATCATTACCACAAAAATGGATTGGTAGACAATAACGAGTTTAATTATTGTTATATAACATGTATCATTATTCTTGATGTCGGACGATAGTTTGCTGGGATCAATCATGAAAATGCATAAAAGTATTCTGGAGATATATTGTTATTGTGATATTACACTATGAGATTATTTATATAATGGAGTTTGTCTCCAGCGTCGAATCGACAGCGGATCGATTGTGACTTATCTATAACGGTCAATTACGGGATGGAAAAAAAATTTAATAAGCGTACATCATACCGTGGCGGCACAACCTATGTCATTCTAACATTTTGCCGATATCGGTTTGCCGCTGCCGATACATATCCGCTGCTGACAGCGATGGCCCGCCTATTTACCGCCTATTCATGTTTGCTGGGTAGTTTGGATAATTTTGAATTTGGTGTTGTGCGGTGTTCGGGACAAAATGGTAGGTCCTTGTGTAGGTCTTGCAACCTCTCAGGATACTCCAAATCAACTTGGAGAATATAGCCTTCTGGACTGTTGTCAGGAATTTGGGTTACATCAATGTCAATATTTTCTACCCATGTAAAGCCCCCATAAGGGAGGGATTCACTAATTGCTTTTCCATAAAGGTTATTTACATCGAGATAAAGAAGGTACTTTGACGGCTTTTTTGGATCGTAATTTTTCTGGTACTTATTGTTTGCTTCGCTATACCTATTGCAACAAACCGATACTCCTCCTCTTATCGCCTGCTCCACAAACATCACCATGTCGATGTCTTTGATGATTTGCAGCTAACACCCAGTATACTTGAACATGCAATCCCACGTATAGCCGGGCATTGTGTAATACCATGCAGGATCGAGGCCATACGTCTTGAGGGATGACGCACGGAAATTTTCCATGACGTCGGCAAGAAGAAGAATATCGGTCCGCATATATAGGTCGCTATATTCTCCCAGCGATTTCAGCTCGAAAGATTCCCAAACTTTTTGCGCGTGCGCGTAATCGTCGTCCGAAATATTTGTATCGTTCAATTTGTTGTAGAAATTTTGAATGCTTGGCAACTTGGATTCATCCAATCTTTCCACACTATTGACATAATCATATGGGAATACTCCTTTTCGTGTCAACAATGCAAATTTCGTTTCATTCACGTCGCTGAATTCCTTCTTTAGAATTTTCAAATCATCGACATTTAACGTTGACACTAAAGCATCGAGACTGGTTTCCAAAAAGCGGAAAGAGTCGATGAATCGGAATTTTATGCTTGTTTCATCATCATGTTGTGTAAACGAAATGTATTTTTCGCGATTAACCGGGAGTACGCTCACACGTCCCCGCTTGGAAATGTATCTGATTATAAAATGCGAATCATATCCTGAGAGGTTGTGGAACGTAATGGGAACAACGAACAGTTTCCTAAAGTTGAGATTACAGGGAGCCTGGTGTGCGAAGCCTCTGAATGCGCCAGTAAAATGGTCGTGGTCACGTACGATAACGTCTTCTGCCTTGAATTCCTCTTCGCAAATGTGGCAGATGGTTGCGCCACTGGTACTAGCTGGTTTAACTACCATTGGAACGATATTTTTCAATTTGGATTCGACAAATTTGGCAATTTTAGACATTTCGCAGGCAAACCAGTCCATGCAATCTCCACCCCTATGACTACGATAAAATGACAGCGAGTCATCGAAAGAACATTCAAAATAGTACCCAGTACTGTATGCTTCATGATGTTGATACTTTGAAGTGGTTTTTGAAATTTTGGAATTACATTCCTCCAACTGCGATTCGAAATCAGCATAAATGATGAAAGGACATGTCTGCTTATACACATGGTTCTTGAATTCTACAAAATCATACTTGGGGAATGAAATTTTCTCATTATTAATTTTCTCACATAGAGCAGCATGATTATCAAACTTCTCCTGGCAATGGTAATAGTTGAGGCACCGATCGCAAATAAATTTCTTACTACGATTTTTGTTGAGTTGACTTGATACTAGTCGTGAAAGGTCCTTAATCCAGACATAGTGATATTTTACGTTAACGTTTTCCTCAATACTATCATTATCGGGAGGAGCTTCATAGTCATTCAATTTTGGGAAATATTCGTCTTGAATTAATAGCAAATTAACGTGTCGATTACATTCATGTTTAGTCAGTCTGGTGGGCACGACAGTGTAAAATGTCCGTTCGTTGACTTCTGTCAACTCTAGCGCATAAACATTAATCGAAATATCATTCATTTTTTCAAATTTTGTGATTTGGGGCAGTTTCATTGGTATGTCTAATATGATATTTATGATGTTTGATATTCAAAACTTGTAAATAGTGAGGATAATTAATAACTATTTTCAAACTTGCTTTAATAGGGTGCAAACAACTGACTATGCTCCAATAGAAGCAAGCCTCATCATCATTTTGAACGTTAATACAAGCCTGCTTTTTCTCAATCTGCTCTGGTAATTTGATGTATGATGAGCCATTGCCCATTTCATATTCATTTATGGCAACCTCCAGAGAAATAATTTCGCTCAAGGCCCACCCGCTATTCTTCTCGGCAAATTCGCTAAGTTTGTTAAGGATCACATCTAGCACATTGATTTTGAACCAATCGGCTAGGTCCGTTCCTGCGTCCACGATGGCATTGGGAGTACAAAAATGTTTGCGGTCAACCAACCAACCAACCATTGAAAAGCGCCCCAACATTTTTGAAATTCTCTTATTCACCAATTTGAATGAATCCTCCAAAAAGTCGATAATCTCCTTATGTCTCAAATTCAGAATAAGGCCGGTCTGCACTCTTGACGCGAAGATTGAATTCACATCAATCCACATGTCCTCTATTCATAGTTTTGATGAAATATCTCATCCATTCCAGTTCCCCGATCTTAGTCTGAATTTTACGCTTCAAACCAATCGAAAAAGTATTTCTTTTCATTGCTAAAACCTATTTCCGTATATGTGAACGGATTGATTTCAATACAAAAAGTGCCAATGGTTTAGAATAATTGTTTTTGATCAGTAAAAGTGTTTCGTCGATTTTGGTTAGGGTTTTATTGATGTTCTCCATTGTTGTATTGATAATATTTTACCCACAAAAAAAATGTAACTCACTTTAATTCTCCAAAATTTCAAATGAAGCTGCTGGTAGTGCCTTTCCAGTCTCCACCTTCCCTCTGAATACCAAGAAATATTTCCTGGTGTTGAAATGCTCAATGTGGGACGAATAGACGTTCGTTACGCGGTTCGGTAGGAAGACGACAAATTCTTCTAGTTCTAGAAGTATGGTCAGTCCGAATTTCGTATTGACTCCTTTTGCTGTTAGGATGTTATGGGGTTGTCCTAGGTGGAGATCCACCAACTTCACGCTTGGTTTCTGTTGTTTTGGAGCAATCAGAGAAGCTGCGTTGATTTGAGTAAGATCCATCTGGTGGGAAGAAAAAGGACAAAAAACATCAGCAGTCCAACAAAGTCATGATGAGCTTGATACTAGGATGGATTATTTTCGATAAAACTGGAAAGGAAATCAATCTGCGATTGATCATCGACACTTTCATTGAATTGTCTCTCGAAAAAACTTGAAATGAAAAAGGTTGATGCGGAATGAGCACTAGGTTGTATTATTTTCAAAATAAATTGAAAGGGGCCGATAATATAAAATTCGGGAAAGGAATGGGCACTGAATGAATAATTCGCAATGACACTTAAAATAAAACTAAGAAACTCAAAATGGAATAAAAAAGTCAGATAATATAGGATTGAGAATATAAATGAGCACTTTGATGAAAAAGAAGTACTTACTATTAGAGCTATTGATGCACAAACACACACACAAACTGTATTATATGAAGGAGTTGGTCAAGATAGTAGACGTTGACAAGTGTAGACTCGAGTGTGAATGATGTTGTGCGGCGTCATCGCTTTTATACGCTGGCGGAGTTACCTCGTGACTTGCTGATAGTAGACGCGGATGTTCTGGAAAAACTCATCTGGAACGACTGCTGATAGCGATGATTTCTTGCGTCATTCTGATCACGTATTTTGTTTATGCGACTAGTTGGGTTTTTAATAGTTTTGATAAACTCCAACGTTTCCTGTTATGCTGCTGATTGTGAA